CCCCCCCCCCCTTGCTTACGCTGTGCACCCAGGTGTTCGATTCTGGGGTGTACGGAGAAAAAAGGGGGAAGAGTTCCCCCTCGCTATGTCTAAAGCATTTGACTATGGACATTCCTGAGTGTCCCATGCTTTTATTAGAAAAAGACCTGTTGGAGACTTTGATTTCCCCTACTGTTCTCCAGGACTGTAAAGAAAAGCAGGCTGCTCTCTGCCTTCGCCATGCCCACCTTGCTGAGGAAGGCTTTGCAGCCACTGCCGGCTGAATCCTCCCAGCTGCCTTGGTCACAGCCCAAGCCTGGGAACTCTGCTTACAGCCACCTGCCCCCGCAGGTAGCAACTGACTGAAGCGAGGAGGGGCTGGGAGATGCTGGAGCCCAATTCCAAACAGCCTTCCCGAGCTGCTTGCAAGTTTCACAGAGAACAACTGCCCCCAGCTCCCAGACCACAGCTGTGGGAAGCTTGGGGTACTGCAATGCCCAAGCAGAGTCGGTTTTGGTGGCGTGTGCCGGTAGGATTTGCTGAAGAAGACAGGGCAGCAATGGTGAGTGACCCGAGCTCTGTGATGTGAAGAGGAAACACAGGTCTAGGGACATCACATCTTCGTGCTCAGCGGTGCCATCTCAGAACAGAAAACTAAAGAGCCTGCAACTGGGTACCAACAGAGAAGGAAGTTTCTATGTGTGCTACGTACAAGCCAGAACGTTAAAACCAGGTGTTCTTTCTTCCTGTTCTGCGGATGGAGACACACACTCAGAGGAAGGATGCCTTGACTGGGGGTGGAATGGGGAGGAGGCAGGGGAGTGATCAGGTGCAGCTGACACAGTCTGTCCTCCCAGGGTCAGTATCTGCTTCCTCATCGGTGACAGCAGAAAGGAACAGGGCCCGCATGGGTGTTGCGAGGGGATTCTCAGGGGACTCATATGACTTCTGTCCTCTGCAGGGCTCAGAGATGGTGCACAGGCTGGTATGCCTGTCTCCTGGATTTCAAGATTTGAGACCCAGAAATCTCCCATGGCTCCTTATCACATCCGCCAGTACCAGGACAGCGACCATAAAAGTGTCCTGGGTGTGTTTATAAGGGGCATGAAGAGCACATCCCACCACCTCCTGCCCAGGACCATCCTGCTCTTACTTGCCATGCCTCTTGCAGCTGGTGGAAAACAATGTAGTATCCAGGGGATTGCAAGGGTCAAAGGCTGCTCTGCTGTGTGGCTGTCTGCTCCGAGTCGCCCCTTTCAAGTAATGTCCTAGGCTGATGCAGGAAGAGCTGCTTGCAGACCACACAGCCACAGGGATGCCCAATATTGGGAGGGAGGCGCATCAGAGAACTTTCCCTGGGGTACCTGGGACAGCAACCTCAGCAGGAGGGACTGAGGACAAGGACACACATACACACACACACACACACACACACACACACACACACACACACACACATACCCCTCTCCGTTAAGAAGCCTGGCCACTGGAAGCTGAGGGCAGGCCATTGGGGCCAGATAGAGTCAGGGAGGGTCCAGACTCTACATGTGGTATCCCATGCCATAACGTTAGGGCTTTCGCTTCAGCTCTGATTCCTCCTGAAGGACCCTGTGACCATCCTGATAGGACAGAGTTGCATTACTGGTGCACAGGCCTTGATGAGGATGCTCTTGGGGTGTTATTGATGAGCGGTGAGTCAGAATTAGACTTCTAGGTAGTCAGGGTATGGGCATCGGACATGGTGTTAGAGGCATCTGCCTTAGACCACATTCTATGTTTTTGGGGTTCTTGTGTGTTTTGTTTTGAATGGCTTATTTTGGTTAGGAATTTTGGTCTGAGACTCTGAGACTAAATTAGCAAGAGATAGGTAGCAAGATAGACCTAGCCAAACTAGTTTTAAAAACAGACTCACTTTGGAGATAAACAATTTGATAATTGTTTTGTGTGATTAATGTATTTATGAGAGCAAAGTTAACATTACTTTGTAAAGGGCCTATGTTTAAAATATCTGATATTGATAAACTTCAACATGAATTTCATGGTGAAAAATGGGAGTTGTGTCTAACTATTATAAGGTTTTTTTTAAAATGAGTTACACTGAGAGCAAACTCTCTTGAGGCATGCCCAGGGTTCTTCTCCCCATTGTTAAAAACCCAAAACCAAGCTGGGCGGTGGTGGCGCTTGCCTTTAATCCCAGTACTCGGGAGGCAAAGGCAGGCGGATCTCTGTGAGTTCGAGGCCAGCCTGGTCTACAAGAGCTAGTTCCAGGACAGGAACCAAAAAAGTTATGGAGAAACCCTGTCTCGAAAAAAAATCCAAAAACAAACAAACAAACAAACAAACAAACCCAAAACCAACGGAGGAGGGGAGAAGACACATTTTCCTCTCTGTTGGAAAGCTTTTAGATTTTGTTTGCTCAGTGTGTAATGACCAGATTGTAGATCACAAAGTACTTTAAGAGGACAGCAATAATCTCAGTAAACAAGATTACTGCCAGAATACACCCTCTGTAACTGACGCCATGCAGACCATAGTTGTCTGTGCCCTCTTATTTGACATTAGTAATACTAACAATTGAATGTGTATCAAGAATGTAAGACCCTCATCCCTTATTCTCAAAGGGGCAAGAAGAAATTTCCTGGCAGATATTTTCCCAGGAAGATAGTGGCCTTCTCCCTCCTACCCAGAAATATAATAAAGATGGCCAGACTCAGAAACAGGGTGGCCTTGCTCTAAAAAACAAAAAAGCTAGCTGACAGAGCAGGATGAGATAGAGCAAAAGTCCTTCCACCTGTGCCAAAACAGCTTCAAAAAGCCTCTTTGTAGTCTAACCTTTTAAAAGACTTACCCTGCAGAAGCAGCTCAGCTCCTCTCTGCCTCCCTGCAGCGGGGTTAGAGATGGGTTCCAAACATGTTTGTATTATGCTAAATAAACCTTGTTAATTACAGTCTGGGCCTCTCTGGTGGTCTCTCTCTGGGGGTCACAATATGGGTACAACATTTGGTGCTGTGGGCTGGGAACCGCAGGGATCTCACCAGGACTAGAGTCCAAAGGTTTATTAGCATCTTTTGGTATGAGAGCGCGTCTCTTTGTCTCTTTGTGTTTGTCTTGTTTGTGTGACTATGGCTGTTTTGGTATGAGAGCTTGTCTCTTTGTCTCTGTGTTTGTCTTGTTTGTGTGACTATGGCTGTTTTGGTATGAGAGCTTGTCTCTTTGTCTCTGTGTTTGTCTGTGTGACTATGGCTGTTTTGTTACTTTCCACGATTTAGGATTTTGAAATTGACAGGCTTTTCTGAGGCAGACGTGTTTGTACAGTGAACCGGAAGAAGCAAGGGACGCCTTGTCTTCCATTTTTAGACAGGGACTGGAGTTCTCCCAGTTCTGGGTCATTTCCAGACAGGGGCCTTTGTGGCCAGGTCATTTGGAGACAGGGAGCTTGCTCCCGGGTCAGTAGACAGGGAGTTTGCTCCCGGGTCAGTAGACAGGGACCATCTGATCCTGGGTCATTTGTGGCCACTTCAGAAGCAGCCTTTTGGTTTCAGAGGCCTCCTTTGGGGAACGGAGCGTTTTGTCCGGGAATTTGCCAGTCTTTTGTGTTTTAATTTGCTAATTGTTGCTTTGTTTTCTTTCTCTCTTGGGGAATACTCCATTACACCCCTAAATTTAACTTTTGCTCACTGGCAGGATGTAAGCAACAACAGTGTAACTGTCAATAAATAACAAACAAACAAATAAATGTATGTAGGTGGCCAGCAGGCAAAACCTTCGATGTGGCAGCCATCCACCGGGTGGAAAGGATGGTCCTCCACTCCCGCAGTGGCCATCCTGACCAAGTCCTCTATATTGTTACTTAGAGGGGACTAATAGAGTAGGGGGCGCTGTGTCCGGAGCTGCCTCAGGTGGCGGCTCCCGGGCAGCCCTGTAGGATGCCGGGCCAGGGACCCAGCAGGGAAGCCCAGGCTGGAGCTAAGGGAGGCTGAGCCCGGCTCGCGGGAGAGGCTAGAGGGCACCTGCATGCTAAGGCGGGCTCTGGCGGCGCCTGGGAGGGGGCGGCCTTGGCAGGGGTCCGGGTGAGGGAGGATGCAGACGCTGGAGGCCCTGACCGCGAAGGCCGCCGGCCTTCCTGGACTCCTAGATCACCCAGGGCCCGCTCTCACCTCGCCGTTCAGGGGATTCAGTCGATTCCCAGTCGGGCCGGGCCGATGGGGTGGAGCCGCGCCTGCACACAGGATCCTCGGGCGTCTGCAGCCGGGGCGTGCAGTCTCCTACGTTTCCCAACACAGCCATGACCCCAGCCACTGCCTGACTTTTCTCACGAAGGGAGAGGGATAAGAGGGCATGACCGCCAGGCCCTCTGTGTGTCTGTGTCCCAGTGTGTCTGCCTCCACTTCACCTTGGCCCGCTGGGCCTCTCCAGAGCAATTGGCTCGGCAGCTGTCCCACCGGGGATAATCAAAAAAGGTTTCCTACAGGAAGAAGAAACAACCGAGACAGAGCTTCCCTCGGTCTCCCCGAGCTGCGCGGAGATGCCAGGGTTCGGCCCCCGAGCGCGGGGGAGAGCAGCGGCTGCGCAGCGCGCGCCCAGCGCCCCAGCCGTCAGGGGCTGAGATAGGAGAGCCACCGGCGTCCCCAGCTCGGCGAGACCCAGGGCGCGAGGGGGCGAAAGGCCTGTAGCAGATGGCGGGCGATGGGCGTAGGGGCGCTGCAGCCCTCAGAGAGAGCACCACTGCCTGGGCGCAGAGAACCAAGCCCTGAGAAATGCAATGTGGCAGAGGACCTAGGTGGGGCTCAGCAGTGACAAGCTCCATGCATGCTGGACACAGGCCACGCGCTCAGCCCTGGGGTTCCTCTGCGGATGATGACTCGGGCAGAGCTTTGCGATGGGGCCTGCGGGGCTCCAAGGCCAGGGAGTAGCGACACCTAGAATAAAATGGATGGTAAAGTCTGCGCACACCCTGCTGAGGGCAGGATGCCTCTTCAGAAGGCAGACAGGGAGCAAATGACTGAGAGAGGCTGCCTGCAGCAGACCAAGACAGCCCCGCCCCCATGTCCTCTCTCTGTATCTTAAGGGTGACAGGGAATTGACTGCTTACAACTAAAAAAACTAAATAAACAAAAAACAGAGAATCTTTGTTTGGCAATGCTTTTGTTTTCACAGGGGGAAATATATATATATATGTTTAGTCATTTATATCCAATGGATTACAAAATCACAAAAAAGAAGTTAATAAAAATTTACATAAGAGACAAAAAAGGTCTTTAATGAAAAAGGTAGGAGACTAAAAATGTCTGGCTAAACCAATAAAACAAAGATAGAAAGAGAGCCAGACTTAAAGTTGTAAAAGGCCAAAAGATGTTTGCTATAATTTCTTGTACCTAAGTGTTTAATGGTTAATTCTGGTTTTAAAAAGCCTTGTTTGTCTTGTTAAAGGGTCATGGTTATTTCTTAAAAAAAATATGTATGCTTAAAAAGTTAGTCTATGGTAATTATAAATTCTGCACCTGTAATTTTTCTCTGAGCTCTGGTCATTAAATTTGGGTTAGCAAAAATTTAAATGTCTTTTTGACATAATGTAATACACAAAATGTCAGTTACCACCGAGAACAGCTGAGACTACACTTTCAAAGAAAAAACAGTTGCAAGAAAAAAACCACCAATGCTAGGTGATAATCACCAAAAGCGTCAGCTATATTGTTAATGTTTAGATTTTAGTCTCATTGTCTTTGCTAAAATCATTAATTTAAATGTTCAATCTGACAAAAAAAAATATGGTATATAGTTCTGGTCTTCTTAAAGATACAAACTGTTAGAAATACAAGTTAATAATCGGTCATCTCAAAGTACTGATATAAGTACAGGGATTAGTCCCCTGTATATGTTTTAATATTTATTTATTTTTATTTATTATGTATACAATATTCTGTCTGTGTGTATGTCTGCAGGCCAGAAGTGGGCAGCAGATGTCATTACAGATGGTTGTGAGCCACCATGTGGTTGCTGGGAATTGAACTCAGGACCTTTGGAAGAGCAGGCAATGCTCTTAACTGCTGAGCCATCTCTCCAGCCCCATGTTTTAAAACTTAACGCAAATAATTTAAAATAAAGTTTGTCTAATCAGAGATACCTGGACAACCCTAAATATTTCAGAGA